TCCCGGCGCGGAGGTTTAAAGACCCCTGGGGGTCGCCCCTCCGCCTCGGGTCCGGGGGCGGTCCGGCCCGTGGGGAGGGTAGGGGGGGGAAGGTCCCCGCGTCCTTTTTCCCCGCTTTCTCTCCCCTGTGGGGTGTCGGAGCACGCCCCTTGGGGGGGCCGTTGCCCCGGACCGCCCCATGGTCATACCTTCCGGACCAAACCTTCCGGACCCGCTTGTCTCGCGCTTTGGACAGCCGCCGGAGGCGCCTCCGCCCCACCGCCAGCGGGACGTGGTGGGGGGAGAAGAGAGAAGGTTGCCGTGCCAGGGAGCGAAAACCCAAAAAAAACGAAATGTGACGACTCTTAGCTGTGGATCACTCGGCTCGTGCGTCGATGAAGAATGCAGCTAGCTGCGAGAATTAATGTGAATTGCAGGTCACATTGATCATCGACATTTCAAACGCACTTGCGGCCCCGGGGTGTGCGCGCGGCTGGGGGTTTCCTCGAAGGGCCCATTCCGGGCCCTCCGTCCCCCTAAGTGTAGACGACGGTGTCTGTGCCCCCCGCGAGAGACGGGAGAGGCCCCGAGGCCACGGTTTTCCCTCTCGGGAGCTTCCTCGCGCCGCACGCGGCCAACGGGAAAAAGGGTTGGGGTCGCGGGGCCCGTCGTGGCGACAGGGTCCCCTTCCCCGCCCCGGCCCTTCTGGGGTTGTGGCTCGCGCTGAGGCCGAGTCATGTGCGGGGTGCCCCAGCGGTGGCCCGCAGGACGCCGTGGTGTCCTCTGCCGCCGCGCGCTCCTTCCCCCTGGCTGTGGCCGCGCCGCGTCTCGCGCCTCCGTGCCCGCGGGCGGGTGCCCGCGGGCGGGTGTGTGTGTGTGTGTGTGTGCCGTGTGGGGCGGTGGCGGCGGCGTCGTCGTCGTCATCGTCGTGGCCCCCGCGTCCACCCCCCCCACCCGCAGACCACCACCAAACTCACCCCCTCCCCCTGGCAAAAGGCCGCCTGTTCTCCCGCCGGCTCCTGCTCCTGTCCGTCCGCCTCGCCCTGTCCTCTGGGTGTAAGGCAAGGCAGAGAGAGAGGCGGGAAGTGTCAGCCATGGCGTCCCGCGTGCGTGCGTGCGTGCGTGCTGGTAAGGGTTCCTCTCCCCGGCCTGGCCTTGGGAAGCGTCTCTCTTCATGTCGCGCCTTCACCTTCATTGCGCCACAGCGACTTTGCGAGCCCCTGACTCGCGCACGTGTTAGACCCCTTGGTCCGTGTTTCAAGACGGGTCGGGTGGGTGGCCGACAGCGCCGCAGACCCCGTGCGCTCGCTTCGCTCCGCTGTGTGGCGCCTTAACCCCCCGGGCCAGGCAGCGCGACTTCACCTGGGGCACACTGGGGAGCGTCCGCCCCACCCCTCCGCGGCCCTGTTGCCGGGGGCGGGAGGGGTGGGAGAGCGGTCGTGCAGTGGGAGGGCCCTTCGTCCTGGGAGACCGGGTGCGACCGAAAAGGAGGCCGCCCCCACGCCCTTCACGCAACGCACGTTCCTGGGGAACCTGGCGCTAAACCATTGGTAGACGACCTGCTTCTGGGTCGGGGGTTTGGTACGTAGCAGAGCAGCTCCCTCGCTGCGATCTATTGAAAGTCAGCCCTCGACACAAGGGTTTGTCTCTCCGCGGCGGGACGGAGGGGGTGCCCTGGGGTGGGGGAGCCGCGCACACGCGCCCCGGGGGCCGTAGCCTCCTCTCCGCGCCACCCTGCTGGGGCCTCCGGGCCTCTGGCTGGGACAGGGTGGGGGGGGGAGGACAGCAGCGGACACGGCCCTTTGCCAAGGGGGGCCGAGGGCCCGCTCCCCTACCCATTTTTTTTTCCGAAAGTCCAGGTCGACCAGTGCTCCCCCAAAATGGGCGGGCGGGACTTGGTCTGGGGCGGGGAGAAGAGCCGGGGTCGACCAGATGGCCCGACTCGGACTCTGGCTGTAGATTCGAGTGATTGGAGGTGGGACTTTTTTATTTTATATTTAATTTTATTTAATTTTTTATTTAATTTAATTTTATTTTATTTTATTTTATTATTTTATTTTATTTTATTTTATTTTATTGTTTTATTTATTTTATGTTTTTATTTTATTTTAATTTATTTTATTCCTGTCTCTGGCGGCTGGGACCCCGCCATCCACAGAGAGAGCGCGGGTCGACCAGATGGCCCAATGCGGCCTTGGTCTCAGGCAAGGACCCCATCATGCACAGAGAGCCCGGCTCGACCAGATGGCCGGACCTGGACTTCAGTCTCTGATTGTGGATCAGAGTGATTTGGGTTGATTGAAATGTTGACAGGATACTTTTTATTTTATTTACTAGAAGCCCGGTGCACAAAAATTTGTGCACGGGGGTGGGGGGGGGTCCCCCAGCCTGGCCTGTGCCCTCTCACAGTCTGGGACCCCTTGGGAGATAAGGACCTGCTGGCTTAGGCCTGCTCCCGGGTGGCAGAGGACACGCCCAATCCCTAAGTGCAGCCCCTTGTCAAGCTCAGAGCAGGGCCGAT